GTCTCTCTCCTCCGCAGAGGCTTTAGTTTTCTTAGGATTTAATATTACGATGAGATACATTTCACTACACTTTACATGGCGGATCTTGGAACACGAGCGTAGCCGCTGGGCGAAGGAGCGCAGGCGGCAAAGGGAAAGGCGAAGGAAGGCGCGAAGCCTCTGCACGATTTGCATCGCAAAGTGGGACAAAGTGGGACAAAGTGGGACAAAGTGTAAACATCGAAACAAAAGGTGATTTTTAAGCTAAACAAGAAACGTCTTTTTGAAAATTAAATCATTATTTAATGCATGATTGATTGACCTCATTGACTAGTGCTTGCATGTTTGTGGATGGTCAAAAGTAATATTTTTTAACATTTAATACACAAAGCAAACAATCGTATATTTTACTCACCGCTTGGCCAAACATTCTGTATTTCGTATTGAGAAAAACTTGAATATTTCTTGAACTCTTCGGAATTCGCCACCAGTCAAAGAAGTAAAATACTCCTTGTATTCAAGCGCTTTCGTGTAGAAAATTTCTTTTGAATACGGCCAGTAGAAATATTTATTTTTAATTTTTCAAAATATCGGGTTTTTACTCGCACAGTCGCACGCGCCTGTCACGCTGATGTTCGGGAATTAGTTCACAATCAGACCAGGAATGGAAATACCATAATAAAAGATGAAAAAAAATAACACTCTAAGTTGTGTTTTGAATTCGCTTTCGAACAAGAGTAATACAAAGAGGATGCGTCCCAAGGAGCCGAAGTTATGTTCGCCGAAAGGTATGCCTAGTTTATATTTATCAAGTGTAAACATTGCGTGATTTGATATTAATATACAAAATCCTGCTTGACTTTCAAAGGTCATAAATTGCTATAGTGTTGACATTTCACTAAAACTATCTGTCGTGCCTCCGGGTTAAAGAACGAAGTGTCAACCAAACTAGACGATTATTATACAGATATTTATTCGGCCAGTTGGTGAAAACTAAAGACAATTGCACAACAATATAAATTACGATTACGAAATGAGCGACTGCGAACAATTTACAACACATTATACAGGAAAACACTTACATCTTTACTACGACCGTCTCTTTGAATAAGATAAACTTAGCGTAAGTAATATAACTCCAAGATAAATGTAGTAACCCCGATTAATATATGTCCTTCGATATGGCCTTATGCGATACGTCCTTCGATATGAATTAGATTATGCTGTCCGTTTTATTCGTATACATGAGTAATCATGCGTTACAATCATGCGTTACGTCAGTAATTAAACATGCAATCATCACACTCCTCGCCCAAGGACGTGACGAGGTAACGTCCTTGCAACTAAAGCATGCTGTGACTATTGTTCTGTACTCATTAAGAAAATTAGGTTACTTATCGGTCTTAAGTAGCTCTTTTTTGCTCCGTCCTTCCAAGTGATCACGTCGACTTTCCTCACTCTACCATCCTGACTTTGGAACGTATTTATCACTCTTGCTAGTGGCCAATTGTTACGGCGAGTTTCCTCTTTCATCATCACAATGTCTCCGACTTTTAGATTGGGTCGTGTTTCGTTCCATTTAGCTCTCGACTGTTGATTCTGAAGATATTCATTCTTCCAACGAATCCAGAACTGGTCCGCCAAGTATTGGGCTCGTCTCCAATGTCGGCGAGAATACAAATCTTCGGACGTGAAAACACCGGGTGCCGAAGAGAGAGGTCTTGTTTTCATAGTCAGTAGCATGTTTGGGGATAGAGGTTGTGGTTGATCTACGTCTGACGGTAAGGTCCCGATTGGTCTAGAGTTTACTATTCCCATTACTTCAGCCATAAGGGTTATTAACAGCTCATGTGTGAGTTGTGCAGGCCCAAGATCCGAGAGCATTCCGTTCAGGACTTGTCTAATAGTAGCAATTTGCCGCTCCCAAACTCCACCAAAGTGGGATGCGTGAGGAGGGTTGAATATCCACTCACATTTCTGTTCGATTACATATTTATCAATTTCTCTATGGTCCATCTCTTTCATGGCTTCATCCAGTTCAGATTTACCATCAACAAAATTTGTTCCTCTGTCACATCTTAGCACTGATGATGGTCCCCGAATAGCGAAGAAACGTCTCAGAGCACAAATGAATAAGCTTGTATCCATTGTTTCTAAGATCACAATATGAATGGCTCGACAGTTTAAACAAGTAAATACCAGACTCCATCTCTTTGAGTTTGCTGCTCCTCCTGGTAGTTTTGTCGTACGTATGGTCCAGGGTCCGAAAACATCAAAACCAACATTTGTAAATGGTGGCGGTGTGTTTAGTCGATCAGGTGGTAGGACAGCCATATGTTGTGTCATCAGTTTTCCTCTGAGCTTTCTGCAGACTACACATTGATTAATTATTCTTGAAATCATCCTTTTAACTCCAACGATCCATAGCCCTGCTTGTCTGATAGCCCCATGTGTTATCTGTCTTCCTTGATGGTACAATTTTCCATGGTAATGGCAAACTGCTAGCTTGGCCAGATGACTCCCCTTCGGTAAAATAGCAGGATGTTTTTCTTCGAACATTTGTTCTGCTTGTCCCAATCGTCCGCCGACGCGAAGGATCCCATGTTGATCGATAAATGGGTCCAGATGGTATAAACTAGACTTTGGGGAAATGCCTGAAGGTGGATTTCGTTGAAGTGCCGTTATTTCTGATGAATATTCTTCCATTTGTGCAGTTAAGATCATCACGGTCTCCGTATGTTTCAGTTCTGCAGCGGTAGGACATCGCGGGTGTCTCCGTGGTGTTGATTGCTTGGAAGGTTGAGACTTTTCGTTTAAAGTAAGTAGATGATGATTTTCAGTCTTCCGTGACGTTATTCTGATGGTCAAATTGGATATTGCTCTACGTAGTGAGGACCATTCGGAAAACCTTTCAAATCGGCTTGATCCTAATCCTTGAGCTTTAGAATGTCCGGTAACATAAGTGGTGATTTGGGTGCGAACTTCAGGATCGTTTTCATCTATCTCAAAAACTTCGACATCGATTATCTCAGAAGAGGAATCGGTAGAATCAGGATTCTTTAGGAATTCAGGACCGGTAAACCAAAATGAATGCATTAGGTCTTTCGCAGGTTTGCCTCGCATTGCTATATCCGCTGGATTTTCTGTGGAGTTCACGTATTTCCACTGAGTAGGATCTGAAATATGTCGAATTGTCTGGATTCTGTTCGCTACGTAAACGAAAAACCGACATCTTTCGTTTTGGATATAACCAAGGACTATCCTTGAGTCAGTGTAGAAAACAATTTTGTTCACGTCCATTTTGAGCTCACGTGTAATCCATTTCACTGTTTTAACTGCAAGAACCGCGGCACACAGTTCCAGTCTTGGAATTGTTGTAGCTTGCTTCGGAGCCAATTTTGCTTGGGCGAACACCAACGAAACGTTGATTTTCCCTGTTTGGTTGACCAACTTTAGGTAAACTGCGATCCCAATTGCACCATCGCTGGCGTTCGAAAAGGCGTGGATTTCAACTCTTCTAATGAGTTTTGAGTTCACTGGAAGAAAGCACCTTGGTATGAAAACTTTGGTAAGCTCGATAAGTGAATCTTTCCAATTTTGCCATTTTCTTCGAAAGAGAATAGGAAGCGGGTCGTCCCAGCCAAGTGGTTTGTTGCCATTTTCTGTTGTAGTCAATTGACGTAATAGAAGTCTTCCAGATAACGAGACTGGGGTCGCAAGACCAAGAGGATCGTGAATGGAATTGATGACGGACAGAACTCCGCGACGGGTGAACGGTTTATCAGGCAAGTCGATTCTAAACGTTAGAATGTCTCTTTGTAAGTTCCACATTACACCCAGAGATAATTGAGAGGGTAAAGGATCTCGACGGAAATCTAGGTTTAGCATGTTGTCGACTCGGTGTTCAGGTGGTATGGCTTCCATAACCGTAGCTGAGTTTGATGCAACCTTGTGTAATCTGATATTTGCTGTCGCCAACATCGACTGCGTATTTTTAATGAGGTTAATGGCTTCCTCGCTGGTCGAGCACGATGTTAGACCATCGTCAACATAGAAGTCGTTTTTAACGAAATCCTTGGCGGTGTGACCAAATTTCTCCTCGCCATCGTCAGCAGTTTTTTGAAGGCCAAACATCGCAACAGCTGAACTGGAAGTGTTACCAAATAGATGCACCGTCATTTGATACTCAATAATCTTTTTCATACGGTCGTTGTCTTCGAACCAGAGAAATCGTAATAAGTCACGGCGCTCGGGTTTCACGAAAAAATTGTAGAACATTTGTTCTATATCACAAGTAACAGCGACGAACGAAGTGTCAACCAAACTAGACGATTATTATACAGATATTTATTCGGCCAGTTGGTGAAAACTAAAGACAATTACACAACAATATAATTTACGATTACGAAATGAGCGACTGCGAACAATTTACAACACATTATACAGGAAAACACTTACATCTTTACTACGACCGTCTCTTTGAATAAGATAAACTTAGCGTAAGTAATATAACTCCAAGATAAATGTAGCAACCCCGATTAATATATATCCTTCGATATGGCCTTATGCGATACGTCCTTCGATGTGGCCTTATGCGATATGTCCTTCGATATGAATTAGATTATGCTGTCCGTTTTATTCGTATACATGAGTAATTATGCGTTACAATCATGCGTCACGTCAGTAATTAAACATGCAATCATCGCACTATCGATAAAAACTAGGAGATATTTTTGTACTGAATCGAACGGTGGTATTTTCATCTACATAGCGTATATTGAAAAAAAAAGAGACGAGCCTCCAAATAAATCAGGTCGAAATCGACTGAAGGTCGCGTTTGTTTATAAATATTGCTGAAGTTGAAATAGTTGAATTGTATTTTCAGTCTTGATAATAAATTTAATAATGGTTCTGTATGCTATACATATTCATTTTTTTCTTTTATGCGGTTTTGTGCACATTTCTAAAAATACAAATGCCAAATATAAATTTAAATAAAAGTTTCTTCGCTTGCAACCAAAACCTGTTCGGTAAATACGTTGTTTCCATGCATTGTTTTATACTGTAGATGGAGACCTTGTCTAGAAAAAATGCAGATGTTTTGTCGCAAACTGAACATAACACTTTCTTATTTCGTAGAGCTAGTAAATAATCTCTTTCTCAGCTTGTTGCAGTATTGTAAAGAGATATTTTCTCAGTCATTTTGACTTGAATTTTGTGTTTGATAATTATACGTCCCCCCCCCGGTTTACCTCCATATTGGGTGTGGCATCGTGCAGAGGCTTCGCGCCTTCATAGCCAATTAAAGCCTCTGCGGAGGAGAGAGGAAGCGAGAAGTTTCGCTTCTTTTACTAACACAACAATATTTTTTACACTTAATGTCTGCACCCGAGGGAAATAGTTAGTTTTGTTTTCCCGAGAATCTCAATGTTTATTTCCCGAGGGAAAAGACGTTAAGTGTTTTGTTATATAGCGACGAAACAAATATCAACATTGAACAACATTCATACAACAATATTTGTATTTCATGACAAAAACTCTATAGCGTAAACGAGTTTAAAATTTAAAAAACCTACTTAAATGGTTTCAGCAGCATATCCTGTTGCCTGTTATGTATTTTTCTTGTCTTTTACATTCTTTATTTTAACACAAAGCCACGAAAACAGTAGTTTAAATAGTATAAATTTGTGCCGCCATTTTGTTTATTTATGTACGTAGCCGGTCGGGGCGGGCAACAATTTTTCACTTATTGCCCGGGCGGGATACATTGCATTTATCTAAAGCCACGTGACTACAAACTCAGCCGATCACGTTTGGTGTTCACACTAGCTATATAACAATAGTACATATATATGTGTTGTGGGAATGGAATTAAACGAATTGAAACATTTCGCTCCATGCATACAGACAATGGACAACAACGTATATATATATATATATATATATATATATATATATATATATATATATATATATATATATATATATATATATATATATATATATATATATATACAGTATATATATATATATATATATATATTATTATTATTATTATTATTATGAATTTCAGGATCCTGAAGAAGGCTCGAAGTACCGAGTCGAAATCTCAATAGAAGTAATAGTATTCTGAAGAAAGCTCGAAATACCGAGCCGAAAGCTCAATATAATGGTACGGGACAAAATTATTTGGCTAGTCAAAATGTTTTCTCGCTAACCGGGATAACTTTTCCCCATCACGCCGGGTCAGCTCTTCCCAAAAATCGGCCATCTGATATAAACTTTTTCAATATATTTCGGATGGACATGAAACTTGCTACATCAATATAACTTTCCATTCCGAACAATCGTATGTTTTTTATTTTTGAGATTTAACGGTTTTTGGCGGGAAAATGACGTCACGAAACCTCCAGTTAAAATTTATTTCAATATCTTAATAGTTTTTAAGCAGAATGTGGAAGATCATGTCATGAAGAGTTCAAAACTGAAAACAGATTTTAAATATCTTAATCTAATCACGAGATACCGGGAGTTTAGAATCGAATTTTCCACCATTTTGTTACTATTTTTAGATTTTTCACGGTTTTTGTAGTGAAATAACTTTGGATTAGGTTTAGATATTTAAAATCCGTTTTCAGTTTTGAACTGTTCATGACATGTTCTTCCAAATTCTGCGACAAAACTATTAAGATATTGAAAGTAAATTTTTAATGGAGGTTTCGTGACGTCATTTTCCCGCCAGAAACCGTTAAATCTCAAAAATAAAAACATACGATTGTTCGGAATGGAAAGTTATATTGATGTAGCAAGTTTCGTGTCCATCCGAAATACATTGAAAAAGTTTATATTAGATGAACGATTTGTGAGAACAGCTGACCCGGCGTG